ATTGTTCAAGGGGAGACGGTGAATAGTAAATGAGTTCCAGATTTTCGGGCAAGAAATTGTCTAATTACTGTGCCTGAAAACAAGGGGAGCAGGAAAGATCAACTTTTTTAGGAGGAGGGTTAGAAATTGTCTAATCACTATGCCCGAAAATAAGGGGAGTAGGAAATACCGCCTTTTTCAAAATGACATTTGTGTAATTACACAAAATTGTGATATGAGTAGGAACATCATTTGCAAAAAGAGTGAATATTCAGAGGTATTTTTGTCCAAAAAAATCGCCACGTGTCAGGCTCCTAATCTCTCACACTTTTTCTTCTATGTAAGAGAGAGATAATTGAGTTTCAAAACATGGGGTGTTTCAAACTTTCAATATTGCCTGTATACAGTTTCAAATGTAATGAGCACAGATCAAAGTCTACCAATATTTCTTGATTTCTACTTACAAACCCATATCCCTTTGTATCTCTAACATTTTTGTTTATTTTTATTTTTTTCCTTTTGGTGTGTGTGTGAGTGTGTGAGATAGATGGATCCTTCGTATTTTTTAAATTAAAAAACATACTCAAGGAAAATATCATTTAGTGAGAGAGGACTTAATTGGAAACACAAGAAAAAGAACATTTTGTTATCATTTTAATAGTTCATGTGTAGAAACGTGTAACAGTACATAAGTTGGTGTTTTATCAGTTAAGGAAGTAATAAATTATATTGTTACATAAAAAATAAATTGTAAATGACTATTTAATCCATTTAAAAGTGTACTGTGACATATTGATAAAGCGAAAGATGTTGACTATTACTTTATTGTCTGCCATATTTTCTTGGTGCTAAAAATTTATCTTATCTTTATTCTTCGTCCCCCCTCTTGTCTCTCTACAGAGCAAAAGAAATACAGAGATCACAAGCATGTCAATAATATCTCCAAATTCCCACATTTTATACCGAGAAGTCCACCACAAGGAGCTCCATCACCAGCTCTGGAGCTTCGGGTCGGGTCCAATATGGGCCAAGCCAAACGGATTCGGGTTCGATCGGAGCAAAATTTACGAGTGGCGAAAGAGAGGTAATAGAGATTTGAGGGCATCTGCGTTTTGGCCCGAATTATCAAAGCCCTCAGCTTTGGAGATGGAGTCCATTCAAGATTGTCAACACTTTGATCAGATTCTGGATAAAGCTAAAGAGCTCTCACAACCCATTCTTGTTGACTGGTCGGTCAATCTTTTTTGCTTTTCCCCACCTTTTTTCAGGATTTAAAATAATGCTACATTTAATTATTCTTGAATTTTTGTTATGCTTGTGCGTTGAAAGTGATTTGTTTGTGCTGGTCAATTATAGGAAATGGATTTCATATATTTTTGTGCATTAGGTGTGAAAATTGGATGTAAAAATTTCCAACTTTTGAGACAAATGATCAATGACAGGCGATGTGATCTATTATATTAGTCTTCTTGTATTGAGCTCAAAATTGCAAATTTAGTCCTGATTCTAAAATAGTATGCTAATGCAGAAAATTTCCAAAAAAATTGACAGGATGGCTGCTTGGTGCAGAAAATGCATCTATCTGAAGCCGAAATTGGAAAAATTGGCCACCGAGTATGATACAAAGTGAGTTCAATTTTAAGTTGATCTTAGTTTATTTATATCTACACCTCCATTGCACCAAGTTGTTAGCTTATGCAAAGTTCAAACATTATGCTAACTAGTTGTAGTATATTTGCTTATAAAGTCTATTTTTCCTGAGATCGTAGGCTGAAATTTTACTGTGTGGATGTCAACAACGTGCCTAAAGCGTTGGTAAAGCGTGGAAACATCTCGGTACATGAATGTATATTATTAATGGATTCTATTGTTCTTCTTATCAGTTATTCTCTCATTCTCATTAGTGAGATGTTGTTTCGCATGCTTCGGCCACTGATAATTGGTTTTCATCGTGTCTCTCTGAAGAAAATGCCCACAATTCAGGTTAGATGACCTATTGTTTTAGAATACTTGTGAGAAATTGAGGTTGGATCTGACAAATGCTAGCTTAGCTTTGATGTGTGGTTATATTATGGCAGATATGGAAAGATGGGGAGATGAAAGCAGAAGTGATTGGAGGGCACAAGGCATGGCTCGTTATTGATGAAGTCAGGGCTATGATCCAACAGTTTGTATAAATAGATCAAACTCGTTTTGTGCTACTTTTTCCTTGTATTGTGAAAATATGTATGTGTAAATACCTGCAATGTTTATAAAGATTTTATATACGACGAGACACTTTAGCATCACACGTCAATTCGTGCACAAGTTAAATTGCAAGTTTGCAACAGCAAACCTAATATTTGTAAAGAAACTAAAGCAATATAGCAATTAGGTAACAAGCAATGGAAAATTTGCAATTTGCAAGCACTAATTCACTTTCAACCAGACGTCATAAAAACGGTCTTATGACAAGTTACTCTATAGCATAAGACTTGGGTTTGGTGACCAAAATCATAAACTAATAAATAGGAAAATGCAAAATCACATAGTATTCTCATATCCAAAACTCGTCATATCCCAAAGCCAAAAACTGCTCGTATCTTGTGGAATATAAGATCCCTCCATCCCCGCTCGGTATTCTCAACTACAGTCGCATTACCATACCTACATTTTTCCAGTAACTTGCATTAGGGCATAAGCAGGGAAAAATAATCGAACAATCAGTTACAAGATACTGACCTGTCTTCCTCAGGAACATCAGTGTGTGTGAGCCTGACAACAGTAACACCGGATTCAGGCTCATCGAAAGTAAGGCGCACCTAAATTGTAAATTCTGATCAGCAGACTGCTTAAATTAAATACACCTTGAGAATTACACATAGAGTGCTAATACCAATTTCTCACATTCATAATCTGCGGTAAACCCAAGCCCACCTTTTTCTATAATCTCACTGTGGGATAGAAGGACAAGCAAGCCTCATTGCTCATACAAGATTTTATTGCCATTTATGTGCTAACACTAATAGGGAAATTGGCATTGAATATGATAGTCTGCAGCAGGATGAACTTTCATCATCCCAACATATCAACAATGATAACTAGTTTAGTGTACACTTATTTTCTGAAAGACGTATATCTTGATCTATTAACTAAAAGAGCTATCCAAATATCACCAAACACAGGAAAATATCCAAATGAATCTCTAATGTAATCCATCCAACTGAGCTAAGCCAGGATTATGAAATTCATAATCCAAGCACAATCATAATATTCACAAATCTAAAGAATAAAATTCAAGTATGTCCAAAAATAAGCCAATTAACCAAAGGTATCAAATGCATCCAAAATCATCAATATAAAGCCAATGTATCATTTCTCCCGTCAACTAAACTAGCACACCCATCGACTCAAGCAAACCGTCGCGCCACAAACACACAAAAACAGCACATTATCGGATTCAAAGAGCAATCTCTCATGTTCATATCAAGCATTTAAGCAAGCTACAATAAGCAAACTAAACAACTCAAGCACACCATTATGACAAGCACACAAAAACTTCACAATGCCGGATTAAAAGAGCAAACTTTCAAGTTATAAGCATGCTTGAGCTAACAACTTTGCAAATAACTACACATACCGTGGAAATAATGCCATCTGGCCAGCTACCAAATCTCCATTGTTGAACAATCAACTTCCCTTCCAGCAACTCCAGATTCTTTCCCGTCACAGACCCATCGAAAATACTAAATTCTCCTCCAACCTCCTTACTGATCCTTGCATTGCTCTGTGTAAACCCTTTCCACCTATTTTCATCCATTAAAATTTCAAACAAATCCCTCGCACGACAACTGAACTTCTCGTTCATAGTTATTGTCTTAAACCCCTCCTTTTTCTTCTTATCCACCCTCCTGACCTCCTTCGCACCAGAACCAGAGGTATTGGCCGCGTTGTTAGCCACAGCACCAGATCCAGGCGCCGGTTTCTTTGTTTTGGCGACCTTCTTAACATCCAAATCCTCCTTGGCCGGCCCGCCTCTCGCCATTGCCTCGACATACTCCCTGATTTTTTCAAAGACAAAGGGCTTCCCCTTGGAGATAAACGCCTCCTTCAACCTCTTACCGATCGGGCCGTCGTCTTTGATAGTGATTCGGATCTCGGGATCCTCGCCGGCGTTCTCGTCGGAAATATAGGGCACCTCAACGGAGCCCTTGGTGGACAGAACCACTGAGCTCCCGTCGGAATCCTTGGCCACAGCCTCGTAGGAGAGGACGAGGTTGAGCTCGTAGCCGGGTATTATCTTCCCCTTGCGGACGTTGACGTAGGCCTCGCCTTCGAGCTTCTCGATCTTCTTGGTGGTGATGTGGAGGTTGCCCTCGCCGGAGAGAATGGGCTTGTCGCAGAGGATGTTAGTCAGGAAATTTCGAGACCACTCGAGGCAATCGGTCTCGGCCCAGTGCCAATTGTGGACGTTAGCGCCATCGGGGCGGTCTTCCACGATCCACCGCTTGTCGCCTTCGCCCAATTTCGCCATTGCTGATGTGAGATAGCGTCGTCTAGTAACTGGTCCACACTAGCGATGGTGGAGGCGGAGAGGAATTAAACGAGGATGGAGAACTTCTGGATACTTCTCAAGGGAGGAGGAAGGGTCAGGCGGGCGATTTTTTATTTCTTGATTAATTAATAATTTTTATTTTTATTTCTTGATTAATTAATAATTTTGGGGAGTATTTTTAATTATTGGAAGAATCTAGAAAAGGGCGAGTTGACACTTTTGGTGGGTGGGCCGACTAGTTGTTAAGTCCAAACTTCATACGTAATCTCTGGGTTAGAGTAACTAATGTGGATGCAGATTTTGAGAAAATTGAAGCTGCAAAGCCCAAAAGAAACCGTGAACAAACCTGCCACAAGCGTTTGCATTTGCGTATAAACGAGAAAACAAAGAAACACTGCCCCTGAACCTATNAGGTTCTTGATCGTAAGTTGATGAGATAAATTCACTAAACAGTAGTGCTGAATTTTTTTAGCTTACACAACGCAAAGATATATTGAAGTAAAGATCAAAACAAAATGAACATTGCATTGAAAGGAAAGATTGAATCTGTATCTGTGTATTGAGAGAAAGGGAGAGAGAGAAAGGAGAGATGCGGCTGAAAATAAAAATACAAACTAACTAGTACGTAACCCGTGCGATGCACGGAATGTAAAATTTGGAAGAATAATATAACCTCAGGTGCAGTAGGATCGAAATTGAAATCATTAAAATACATAGGAACATTGCTGAATCATAAAAAGTTCGGTAACAATCATATATTATTAAAAACCTCCTTGTACACAACATTATGAGTTTGATTATTTGGTAATTCCTCATTATCACAAACTAATATTTCCAAAAGAGACAAATCCTAAAAATCAAACTAATATTTTTGGTGAACAAACTAATATTTTAGGATTTCTAGGATTTGTCTCTTTTTGGTGAACAAACTAATATTCTAGGATTTGTTATATGAGTAAGGCTACTTGTTTTTTGTGTTCTTTTCATTCATTGTCATTCAAACAATCCGATTACTTGTATAATGAAATCCGAATCTTAAGTCGAAATATTTTTTTTTAAAAAAAAGAGTTTTTAAAAATTGAAAAGTCAAGGCAATCAGTTCAGATTAATTAAAGGTCAAAGAATATCCGCTCCTTGAAATAAAAACGTGTGCTATCATTAACCAAATATCCGGTTATTGATATAGAGTGGTTACCAAAAAACATAGAACGCGATAAGGACGCTTCATGGAAATATCAATGGGATAAGGTCATAACAGATCGCTATACATTTTAACGACAAAAGCTCAGATGGAATGATTTATGATAATTATGTCGTAATTAATGAATTAATTAGATGTGTGAAAATAACATAATTAATGAGAAGTGTGAAAGGACATAATTAATGAAAAATGTGAAAATTACATAATTAATGAGAAGTGTGAAAAGGACAAAAACTTACCAGTTTTGGAAAATATTTAATGCAAATCCGCCATTGACCATAATTTGACCTACTATTTTGGATAAATGTTAATTCTTATTATATAAGTATAGATGAATAGAAAACCCTAAACAACATCTATTTATATGAATGACTAATGAACTAAAAATGTTAAACTGATAACTAAAGTGCTAAATACAAAAGAGCACTTTCTATATTCTAATAAGATATTCGACTATAAGCAAGCACACAAGTTTTTTGATGAAAGAAGGAAAACGGAAAGGAACAAGTCACTAGTAGTCAGTAGATTAACATATAGTTGCAGGCCGCAATTACTTATCTAATCCCCTCACGTTGAATTCTGGAGATATGGCCCTTCTCTATGTGCCTAGTGAGCAATGAAATGCCATAATGAGATGCACTTGAAGCAGCATAATAATTAATAGGGTGTCACCGTGAGTTGAGTGAACACTGGAAGTGCATAACCTATACATTAATATATCAACACTTCATTCAAAGTCAATTACTAGTTGTAGATTTTTAGCCAAATGTAACTTCAGATTAACCATTTGTATTAGCCAGCGAAAGTTGCCTTCTTCATGAATTCATATCACTTGAGGTGATTCTTATTTTATGAAAATAAATAATGCTAAAATTGTCTGAGCGAACAAAATGCAGCTGATGATTACCTCCAAAAGAAGCACTAGCAGCTGAAAACATAAGCAAGGGAGGAAGCTGCCAAAATTGAAAAGAAAAAGGGAAATGAAACACGATAGTGTGAAAGAACAAGACACACATCTAGCGGAAGAATAAAACATATCAATTTTGGCATTTCACTGACAAATGGAAGCCACTTTGGGCCCTTCACATTCTTCTGATAAATACGAAATTCCTGCACGGATGAGAACAATTTTAGACAGGAGTCGGTGAAAAGAAATGGATAAACAGAGTAATAAATAACCTTTGAGGTACCCGTATTGAACCCATGAACTGCACTAAGCAACCCACCAATCCCGGATCCAACCTAATTATTATTTCAGATTGTTGAATTAGCGAATTTCGCCGAGAAGGCAATCAAGACACGTAAATAAGTTGACTACTGCAAAGCTGCAATCTTGCATGTGTAGCGCCCCTTTATTAGAATTTTTTTTTTAATATTATATTATTATATATTTGCATTTTATTTAATTTATTCCTTTGTTTTATTTTATTTGCTCGATTATTATTGTTATTAACTGATTGTCTTTGCCTTATTTATATGCTTGAATAGTAATTTTTATATGCTTAATTGTCCTTAATTATTATGTGATTATCTTATTTATTTATGTGTTATAAATAATAGGATTTATTCGTTCGGAAATTTTCGGCTTAATCGCGTAAAGTCATTTTCGATCCATTTGGATCCGTTTCTCTGGTCTTTTGCCCGAACCTTGGAATTATAATTATTCGGCCCAATTTAATTGTATTTTGTTCAGCCTTCAACTGTTTAAATTCAATTGACCATTTTCGGCCTAAATTAAGTCCACTATGCCCGTATCCTTAAGTCAATTATGTAGCCCATTTTCTTTGAAAACCCTCACTCGGGCGAGAGGTTATGGGCTTGATTGTTTATGAAATAATCTACTCACATTTATTTCATCTCAAAATTTAATTCAACTTTAACTCAACTTTACTATTTTTAATATTATTCATATAATTAAATAATACAAACCAATCATTCTTCTACATCACATTAACTTTAATTCACTATTCATCCACTCACATAATTTTAACACATATCATTTCCAATCATCTATCTCCTACTTTTACATCACATCAATTTTAATCATTTTATTTTAAATATTATTTTAATACATTCTTAAAATTCCACTAACAATTAATCATACTACCTTTTTCAAAATTAACTATAGTTAACCAAAATAACTTTTTTTTTCCCCAACGATAGAATTTCATTAATAACACAGATAAATACAACACAAGATCGACCAAAGCAGCCGAAGTCGGCGGCCAAATGGCCGAAGTGAGAGGACATCTCAAAGGGAGCCTAAATACCACAACTCACTCACAAGAAACAAATAAAATACAAACCTCCCACACGGGAGAACAAAACTCCCACAAGTGGAGAACAGAACTCCCACAAGTCGAGAACAACACTCCCAACGGAGAACCTAACCCCACACTACATCACAAAAAAACACCACAAAGAAGACACACAAAACGAGAACAGCACAAATAAAACACACCTAATATTAGACTACACTAAAGTCCTCCTCCACGGCAGGCTAATAGCACCGCACCTTCACCACTCGAACCCGAGCCCGGAAGGAATACCCCACGAGAGAGGGCAAGGTAACCGGCATACACGGCAACGAGGAGGACCCTAACGTCATAAGACTCGTACCGGACTGTCAATACCACCCCTCTCCACAGAGACACCACTGCCGGGTCAACACCAGGAGCCACCATTACTCTCGGCCCCCACACAATCCGGCGAGCTCGCCACCACCGCCCCCGCCAGAGAACCCACTCTCCTCGCATCACGGAGAAGCAGGAAAGGGGAACCAAGACTACCGCAGCCCCTCCACCGCTACACGGCAAGGACGCCGGCTGTCAAGCCACCACCAGGACAAAAACCCCCAAACTACCTGAAACCGCCATGGTCAGTCGCCCAAGCAGAGACGCCACGCAGTCCGAGAAGAGTGAAGGTCGCCTTGGAAGGAATCACGATCCCGATGTCGGTCTAATTGCGAAGGTGCGGCGCCTCCGCCGGAAGGAGGCGCCGGTGGATCTGGTTTGGGGCTAAGGGTTTCATAAACAATCAAGCCCTATCTTCCTCTCCAAATTCTGCAACCGCGGTCCTCATACTCATATTCCTCCCGCAGCAGCAGATCTGAAATTTCACCTTGAAATCGCTCAGTCCCCAACCTCATCGTCACCCCGTAATTGCTACGCCCCTTAAATCGACCAACCATCGCCGGCGCCCTTCAACGACCCGTCACAAGCAGTCGACTGCGAACGCCAAGAAGCCCAGCCGTGTGCGAGCACCAAAAGTCATATCGAACTTCTGTCAACGAGCAGTCTCGCCGATGTTCGTACTCCACCCACGGGTCGCCGTTGCGAATTCGCCCTCGACCCTCGATTAGTAGCATCGAGCGCCATCGGAGGATCTTTCCTCAGCCGTTGACCGCCAAATTCAGCCTTCGCCGTCGCACTCAGCCAATGAGGGGTCGGCGAGCAGCGGCAGTTCATCCCGTCGGCTCCCTTTCTGAGCAGCAGCAGCCCCGTCGTCCGGCAGCGAGCAGTCTGTAGTCGAGCAGTGGTCGGGTTCTTTTCTAGCCGAGTCGTTTTGCCGGGATACTTAGTCGAATCGAACGGGCCTCTTTCTGAACAGCCAGCAACTTCCGACCTGTCGCGATCTATCGGAGACGCTGAGCACTTCCAGCCATCCACGCAGTAGTCGAGAAAGCCGCCGCGACCAGCCGCCGGAGTCCGAGTAGCAGCAGGCTGAGGTGCCTTGATTCCGAGCGGCGACCAGGAGCTTGAGCAGTGGCAGTCGGGCCGCTTTCGAGGTCGTATGGGGGTCCGGGCTGCAGCGAACCGGGCCTGTTTTTCAAGAACTAAGAGTCGAGAACTCGTAGCCGAGACCTAAACCTTTTTCCCCGTTTTTATTCTCGACGAGAGGTATTTTGGCTGAGCTTATTACTTCGAGCTTTTGATGGCTTATATGTGCTTGAAAAAGTTGGGAGTTCATGCCTTAGTTTTGGAGATAGAGAATGATGCTTTTTGCTTTGTTTTGATCGTATGTTGCCTTGTATGTGCTGAGCGTGTTGTTTGTAGTGTTTTGGGCATATGGTAACCGAGCTACCCGACTCGGGTCGTTCTCAAAGGAAGGTTGTTCGGAGCTTCGTTTACTACCTAGTCGTCAAAGTCACATAACCAAAAAGAAGGTCCTAAACATTCTACTCGCTTGATTGTGGGTGATTTGCACGCAATTAAACTAAGAATCTAGAGCAATGATGAAAAATGCAAATCTAGAGAGAAAAATCGAAACTTTGGTCTATCGGAATCTCCATGACTAAAGAAAAGAAAAATAAACAATAGAAAACATACGAGCATAGTGATCCTAGGTCATCTAATACGAGCCTTCAACACTAGATCATCACGCTTTTAGCAAAGTTGAGATCTCTACACAAGATAAGCACATATAGATTCCTAACACACGTAAGCAAGTAATAAAAATAAAGAAAAACCAAGAAACGAGCATAAACACACAATTCGAAAGACAAAGTCGAAGTAGTAAGGCCTAAGCAAGGTACCTACTCTCCCATAGCATGCTCGGACGAAAATAGTGAATAAAACTCGAAACTTGAATGAAAATAAACTTGCCGGAATTTCGCCGGAAAAATAGTCATGAACCTCCCAACCAAAGCATAAAAAAAAAGAAAAGAGAAGAGAGAAGAGAGAAAATTGAGAGGATTTCCCAACTTAAAAGTTGGAAAATGAGGGTTGTTTTAAAAAATACAAAGCACAATGTCTATTTATAGCTACACCTCAAACACACACTAAAAACACGCACATTTAAATACACACTCTCGAGGTCGCGGGTGGATTCGCGAGTCGCGGGCACGGATGGCGCGAGTGAGGCACGAAGAAGGTCGGGTGCGACGCTGGGAAGTGTGGCACTCTCGACCTCGCGATGGAATTCGCGCGCGCGGAGGGGAGAAACTCGCGGGCTGGTGCGCTCTTGGACGAACTCGTGGGCAAAGAGGCATTTCGCGGGCGCGAAGGGGAGAAACTGGCGGGCTGGGCGTGCTTTCTTGGAGGAACTCGCGGGCAAGGGTCGTTTCGAGGGCGCAGAATGGAAAACTCGCGGGCTAGCAACATGTAACGAAAACTCGCGACGCAGCTGGATTTCACGGGCGCGAAGGCGAAAACTCGCGAGCACAGGGCGACTCGCGGGCTAAGGGCATTTCGCGGGCTCGAACTTGGAATTCGCGGGCATTGGGCTCCTTAGGCTCGATTAGCCCTAACTTCTCGCACACTTATCGGATTGACTTGAAATTTTGACCCACGTTCCTCAAATATTTTTCTCCTCGTTTTGGAATGCTCAAATCGATATTGCCGCGCAATTAATATATGTGCTCGGAAATGGTTCGCATGGCTCGAAAATGTCTCCGAAATAACTCCTCTTCCCGAACTCGAACATTGTGGACCTAAACAACACCAAAAAGACAAGAAAAATATGCCGAAACACAAAAACACAATACGAAAGCAAAAATACACGAAACACGATAAAATGGACCGGTCGATGCTAAAACGAACTTAAAATCACTCAACTAAAACACATAAAACACACGAAAATAAGCACAAAAACACAATAAACACGTGTTATGTGAATTCTTGGGTGTTTAGAATGTCGTATTTGGCTTCATTTTCAGAGATATGAGTTCAGCTTTGATGGCCCTAAGTGAGTTGTGTTTATTTTTGAGAAAAATGATATAAATTGAAGTGTAACTCTTTGTTTTGGCCGAACTGTTTGCCTCTTTTGTTGAGAACTTTGTGCTGTGTTTAACTTGCTGAAAGTGAGGTATTCTTAGAGTTTTAATTTCAACCTTTAAGGCCTTTATAATTGTTATTTAAGTGTGAGAATAGAAAGGTGAAATTGAGACAATTCGGTAATATGCCCGGCCATGTGTTTTGCAAGGTTGCTGGAGCTTTTTGTTATGAGTTTAATGGCTTATCAGAATGTTTGAGTTGCTGCTTTCATAAAAAATGTGATTCATTTAGTTTGGAATGGTGAAATTGAGATGCATGCACAATTAT